TGTTGTTGTTGTTTGTCCTTTTTCCTCAAAAATGACCAACGATTAGCAGATACAAGCTTGTAAAGAAAGGCCACTATCATATAGCTACAGCTCAAACTCTCCCAGAGTGCTAGGGGTAACCTGTTGTTGGAGGAATCCACTCCTCCTACTCACCACTGTAGCTCCTGAGCCCCCAGTGGTATGCTTCCTATCCATACAAAATCATTCACAATGATGACCCCGTGAACTCTTGAAATACAGGACATTTATTTAAGCAATAAAACAAAGGCAAAAATAATCCAATACATTACAGTTACACAATAGAAAGCAAATGCAGGAATAATCAATACATAACAATACTCACATAAACCTGAGTCTCGCTCTCCCTTCAGCAGAAATAGTATCTATTGGGGAAAATGGACATATATACATAGATACATACACACACACACACACACACACACACACACACACACACACACACACACACAGAGAAATCTAGAAGGGAGAAACAGGAATAAGGCCAATTCATTTGTTCAGGGAAACTAACAACTTTGCCTGAAGTTCTTGATGTCTTTGCTGTCTATCTGCACCATACAAAGTTGCTTCTCTGCTTAACCCTGACTGGTCCTTAGTGTTCTGTTGTTGGGCAAATCAAGTTTCCTACTCTCAAAGCGATGAAATAGTAATAAGTTCTTTTAACTCATAACCACCCTTAAAAGCATTCCAAGGTATTGTTTTGCTTTTGTGATTATAAACAGTTCCCTTAAGCTGGATAACTGCAAAGGTCTCAGATTGGTTCTCTGGGAAATACAAAAAAGCCCAGCCAACTAACTCTTCAGTCACCAGGACGCTGCATCATACCATTAGCTTCTTCTAGCAGCAAGGACACAGAGCTTGTCTTTCTCCTCTGCTGTTCCCTCTCAAACCAGAGGAAGCCAACAAAGAACTACCAGGCACTTCTGAGAGGAATTTTCTCTTTCAAACTATGGGTGATGCTAAAGATAGGTGATAGATAGATAGATAGATAGATAGATAGATAGATAGATAGATAGATAAAGTTATTAAAATGCTAAGTGCTCAGGATACAAATAGAAGTCCCTGCTCTCGAAGAGTTTACATTCTGATGAGGGAAGACAACACATAAAGGGGAAAAGGTAAATGGCGAAGCAAAGTAGCATGGCTAGAGATGTCTGGGAAGTGCTGGTGAAGTGTTGAAACCAAAGAACATAAGGCCAAAGCTGGCCTATCAACACCAGGGTAGCTTTAGGAGTGGAGTCCCATTCTCAGGTGAGGCGGAAGTGGAATTCAGACTGTGTGCCTGGGAAATAAAGGGCATTCATGGAAATTCAGCTCTCTTCCAATGAACTTCAGCCCTTTTTTTTCTAGTCAGTTAGCAACTACCAGTGTAGCAGCTACAGCCATCCTATCAGATGGGTATTTTTGTCACACCCTTCTTTGTCTCATGAACCCTTGGCAGTGTGGTGACCATGGACCTCTTTTCAGAATAATGTTTTTAAATGCATAAAATAAAATATGCAAGATTACAAAGGAAACCAATTACATTGAAACAAGGATATACACATACCTTCCCATCTAAGTTCACAGATGCCCCAGAATCTATACATAGACCCCTTACAGACTCATAACACCAGTTTCAGAACCCCTGGGCTATTCCTCTCACCTAGCTTTTTCTGCTTGGTTCTTCACTACTCTTAATGTCTCAAATCAGAAACTCTTGGTTCTCAGGTATTCATTTCTATTATGATGTAAAACTCACAAAATCCAATTTTCCATCAGTTATGAAACCAAGTCATGCCATCATCTCAAAACAGCTATTTGATTTAGTGCTTTGTGAGTTTTAACCTGTCAAGCTCTAAAAATATTACATGCAAATGAGCTGAGCAACCACCATACCCCGCAGGCCAGGTCATTTCTCTGTTCTCATATAAGTCCTCTTCAGTTCTCAGTCCAGTCCTCCGAAAAGCTATTTCTTCAAATATAGATTTTAGCCATTTTCCCATGTACAAAAATTCTTTTTCTGTCCCTTTCTGCAACCAGACTATTCATATACAAAAGGGGTAGTAGTTTATGTCTTTCACATGTTGACTTAATCCTTTTTCTTTATACGACAGTTCATTTTCTTCCCCTTTTAGCAACCAAACAGCTGATATACAAAAGCATAAATACGTTTATTTATTCACATCAGATGCAAATCCATGCATTTGTGGGATAGGAGAAGGTGCCAGAGGAATTTTGTGGTCAGAGTGGATTGGTAAACATTATCATACATTTTATATATGACTGCAAGAACTTCCTGGAAGAGGAGAGATTTCAGGTGGAGCTACAGGAACTACAGAAGGAGTAGTAGTTCACAGTGACCTAGTGAAATGTGTAATAGTAAACAGTGAGCTCTATCCTAGTCTTAACTATTTCTATACCTATCTTCAGTTCAATTGAACAAACATTTATTAAAAGCTTTTATGTGAAAAGGCCTGTGTTTGGCACCGATGACACAAAGATAATATCACAATCCCCTGCCATGTTACACCTCCCCCACAAGAGTTCATTCTGCTAGTGAGATACAGCAGGTATTCTGAGAAGCATAATCCAAGCTAGGTAGTGACAGAGAAAAGGAGAGACACTGACAAAATGTTCCAGGAAAATCTGAGGTGGGAGAGAACTTTTGGATGAGAGAATCAAGGAAATTTACACAGGAGGAAGTAGCACCAGATTTGAATCTTAAAAGAAGATAAAGATTGTGAAAGTAAGAGATGAGGAGGGAGTGTGTTTCAGGAGTGAGCTCCCTGAGGGCATAAATCTGGCTTTATTTGTACTTGTAGCTCTTGCTAAGAGCCCCAGCACACGTTTCTGCACTTTCTAAGTACAAGAAATGTTTGCTAAATTGCATTGGACAGAAGCCAAAATAAAGCACTGAGAAGGTGCAACCCAGATCTAAAGGGTTTTACTTAGGGTTATACACAGGGGTGTGCTGGGGACAGCTCTTACTGGTTCTGGAGAGCTGATTGTTAAATTTTCAGTATAAGCATTTCCACCTCAAAAATCAGCAAATGCTACAAATCAGGGCTTGATTTGTTGTTTTGTTAATTGTCTAGACTTCAGAAAGTGATGGAGAAAACCCTAATAATATGTATCAAATCTGAGTGTATTCTGTGCTCATTTTTTCCCCTGAGAGACCGTTGTTAAAAATTTACCAGCATACCCCTGGTTACACGAATCAAAATGTTAGCAATCATTCCTTCAAGGCTAAATTCAAGTACAAGCCTATCCTGACCCCTCAGGTGCTAATGTCCAGCCCTCTGAAACTACTTTGCATGTACTGCATATATGCTTGTATTTAAGAGATAGAATGGCTTGTGTTTAGAGAGCTGCCTCATGAATCAAGTTAGAAAAACCTGAATTCAAATTTGGCATTTAACACATGCTAGCTACATGATCCTGTGCAAGTCATAGTAACCTCTTAGTGTCCCACGCAACTCTGCTACTGTATGTTGTAGGGTAGATACCAATCTGCATTGGCAGGAGTTTCCTTCCTGGGAGTTCCCATACCAATGAAATCACAGGTCCAGTACATGAAAATATTTTGTTTTCATTTCTCTGTGTTCTTATTGGCCCCTGTCCACCCCAACCCCACTATAGAATGTAAGTTCCTTGAGCAAAGAGACTATCTCCTATGCCTAGTACAGTGCCTAACACATTCTAGGCACCTAGTAAATGCTTGTTGAATAAATGTGTCTTACTTAGGAATATCAATATCAATACCAATATCAAATCAACCACAAAACAAGCCTTAACGCAATAATCAATAAGAAGCAAACAGTTTCTAAATTAAAATATCACCAAGCTGGTCAGATTCTAACCTGTTGTCAAACCTAGTTTTAGTACAGTTATTTCTCCCTAAAAGAAGTTAGGAAAAACATCCAAAAATTGCTTTAAAATAGTATTTCCATTAAACCTTTTCCAAAAGATCTGATTTTTATTGTCCTAGAGTGAAAAAAAAATATCCTTGGGGTCTGAGGTTAGGCTAATGCCTAGGGTTAGGGATGAAGGAGAAGCCAGGGTCAGGGCTAGGGTGGGGACTGGGAATGGATTTGAAACTGAGTCTGGGTCTGGGTCAGAGACTGCACAGCATAGACCCTTCCTCCACTGGAAATGTCCAAGAACCAACCACAAGGAAGGAGCTGGCAGCTATTGGCTTTGATTGATCTGATCTTCCTTAAAGATCAACCAGTTAATTATCTTAGACTCTGTGGGGACCCCATCTTTCAAACAATAAGGGAGATTCTTGCTTAGGCCTGTTACAGCTGAGACAATCAGAGAAGGCTTCATGCAAGAGGTAGAGCCATTTCAGTTGGGCTGGGTAAGAATTCAACAGGTTGGGGTGGGAATTCCAGGCTCAAGAAGCTGCCAGGGGAGCAAAGGCAGGAGGTGTGTCCTGGGCACAAAGCATAGACTAGTTTGGCTGGAGCATGCAGTGTGTGGAGGGGACTAGTTGGATATAAAACTGCAAGAATAGCATTGAATTTAGTCCAATTCCACATTTATTTTTACGCCTATTACATGCAAAGAACCTTTTTTAGAGGTAGCTGGTTTGGCACAGTGGATAAAGAGCCAGGCCTAGAATCTGGAAGACCAGCTTTTAAATCTGGCCTCAGGCACTTACTATTTTTGTGACCCTGGGCTAGTCATTTAACCTCTATCTACCTCAGTTTCCTCATCTGTAAAATGGGGATAACAATAGAACCAAACCCTACCCAACCCCCAAGGTTGTTGTAAGGATCAAATGAGATAATATTTTTGAAGCATTTAGCCCAGTGCCTGACATATAGTAGGCGCCATATAAATGTTAGCTATTATTATTATTCCAGGCTCTGAGGACACAAAGACGAACATTTCTTGGTACATTGGGCTAAGACATGAAGGAAAGGAAATAACTAAAACAAATTTTGAAGCACTGAAAACAGTCTGGGTCTGAGAAGATTCTGTTGCTTCTGTTCCAGGTGAAGTTCATTACCGAAGTAAATACCTCCGAAGTGACACCTACAATTCCAATATTGAAGCCAACAGGATTGTGGTGTCAGAGTTTGGAACTATGGCTTATCCAGATCCCTGCAAAAATATATTTTCCAAGTAACTACCTCTTTTAAATTGTGATCTACCTTCAGAAGCTCTCACTGTTAAAACAACTCTTTTTTGCTCCTCTGCTTATTCCTTCCTATCTTGCTTTGTAAGTCTTCTGTCCTTCCTCTGTCTGCCTCATCTGTTAAAGCCACACTATCACATGAACACTTTAGATTTGCAGCCCCAGGATCCCTTAGGCAAGGGATAAATTGTTATCTATCAGACCAGGGACTGCCAACAGGGCTACTGGCAAATAGTCAATTCAATTCCACAAACATTTAAGTTGAGGTTAATATGATAGATGTCTCAATTATATTCATCAGTGAAGGGAACTTGGGCAGCCAGCGAGCATAGATTCATAGAGTTCAGAAATATCCTTTGTTCCACCTCCTTCATTTTACATATGAGGAAACTAAGGCCTGATGAAAGGGTATTGACTTGCACATGGTTACCCATATAGGAAGTAACCTGGAAACTGCACGTGGATCCTCTGACTCCAAATAAAGTAATCTTTCCATGCTACTCATATTATAGATGAAGAATTAGAGACCCAGTGAAGTGACTTGTAAATAATCATACCGATAATAAAGAGCAGAGCTGGGATAGCAACAGTTGGCAGAACTCTGCCAAGAGGGAGATGGTTACAAGATCTTTCCCAGATTTCTCATCACATGCCTCTCAAATACAGAGCATAACTAAATAATACTAGGGGTATTGCGTGATCAACGTAAGTGCAGAGGCAGAGAATTTCATTTCCTCTTTTACTGGGAAAAGAGAGTTCATCTGGGGCAGCTAGGTGGCGCAGTGGATAAAGCTCTGCCCTTGGAGTTAGGAGGACCTGAGTTCAAATATGATCTCAGACACATGACACTTACTAGCTGTGTGACCCTGGGCAAGTCACTTAACTCCGATTGCCTCACCAAAAAAAAAAAAAAGAAAGAAAAAAAAAGAAAAGAGAGTTCATCTATAGGGAGTTCCCTCTTCTCTCTTACTTCACATTTCAAAATTCTTCTTCATCGTCCCCTATTCTCTCCCTTCCTTCTCTCTCTGATGGATAGGTGGCCTTTCTTCTTGCCAAGACCAACCACTCTTTTACTCTTAACTCATATCAGTCTCCTCCAGGAGCCTCAATCATTCCCTCTCTTTTTCTCATCCTCTGTCTCTCCTCCCCATGGACTACTTTGACTATGCCTATAAACACACTCAGATGTCTTCCATCCTTAAAAAAAAATCTGTCATTTGGACTTGCCATTCCCTTTTAAACTATCATCTTTTATATCCTCCCTCTTTCACAGCCAAACTACCAGAAAGTGTAGCCTATATTCATTGCCTCCATTTACTCACATATTACTTTTTAGTCTCTTATAACCTAGCTTTCTACTCCATCATTCAATTGAAACTGCTCTCTCTAAGATTACCAACAATCTCCAAATACAATAGTTTTACTCTTTTCTTATTATACTTGGTCCTATTCATCGCTCCCTCCTCCTGCACAGTTCCCTCTGTGGGCTTCTCTATAATTTTTCTCTTTGGGTTCTCCTACGTGACTTCCTGTTCCTTCTCAGTTACCTTGGCTGGATCCTTCTCTTCCTCCTTCCCACTCTGTGGGCATCACCCAACTCTCTTCTCTTTAATCTCTGTACTGTCTCCTTTGGTGGACTAATCTGGGTTATCATCTCTATGGAGATGATCCCTAATCCTATATATCTAGCCCTCATCTCTCTCCTGAAGTCCAGTCTCACATTACCAGCTGACAGTTATTTATCTCTATCTTCATATCCCACAGTCACCTCAAACTCAATATGTCCAAAATAGAACATGTTATATTTCCCCCTCAGTTCATCCCTGCTCCAGCTCTCCTTATTTCTATTAATGGCACCATCATCCTTCCAATCATCCAGCTTCAAAATCTTGGAGTCACCGTTGACTATTTCACTCCCCACATCCAATCAGTTGCCACATATTGGGAAGCAATAGGTGGTACAATGGATAGAGTGCTGTGCTTGGAGTAAGAAAAACCTGAGGTGAAATCCTGACTTAGATTCTTACTAGCTGTGTCACCTTGGGCAAGTAATCTAACCTCTATCTGCTTCAGTTGGAGCAGTTCAGATGAAGAATCTGTAAAATAGGGATAATAATAGTACCTACCTTGCAGGACTGTCGGGAGGATACAATGAGATAATATATATGAAGTGCTTTGCAAACCTTAAAGTGCTATATAAATGCTAGCTGTTATTGTTGATTCTTCTTCCACAGTGTCTCCTTTTCTCCCCATTTATACATCTTCTCCCCTAATGTAGGCTCTCATCACTTTGCACCTGGACTATTGCAATAAATTCCCAATTCTTCTCTCTCCTGTTAGTTTTTACTATTTTTAATTTAGGGGTAGCTAGGTGGCACAGTGGAAAGATTGCTGGGCCTGGAGTTAGGAAGATTCATTTTTCTGAGTTCAAATCTGGCCTCAGACACTTACTAGCTGTGTGATCCTGGGCAAGTCACTTCACCCTGTTTGCCTCAATTTCCTCATCTGTAAAATGAGCTGGAGAAGGAAATGGCAAACCACTCCAGCGTCTTTGCCAAGAAAATCTCAAATGGGGTCATGAAGAGTTGGACGTGACTAAAATGACTAAATAATAGCAATATTTAATTTCGTCTGCACAGATACCAAATTCGTATTCCTAAAAACAAAGATATGACCGTGTCAGTCCCTTACTCAGCAATGTCCAGTGACTATGTATTTGAGATCTTGAGGATAAACAAACTGCTCAAACTGCAGTTCAGAGCCCTCCACAGTGCGGGTCCCACCAACTTCCCAGGCCTGTTTAACATCACCCTCACGCCCTCTTCATGCCAGTCAACGACCAGCAAGCTGATTCATTTCCTACCACCATCCTTTCACACGTGCAGTGCCCCGTGCCTGCGTTTCTTACTTACCTTCATTTTACGGAACTCCTAATTTCCTTCAAAGAAGGTCACCTCTTACCAAAAATGTTTCCTGGTCTAATGTAATTAGCATTCTTTCTCTCATGAATTTACTTGCTTATGTGTATGTTGAATACTCTCCTGCTCTCTTTCTTTTCTTTTCTGTTTTTGGCTAGGCAGTGGGGTTAAGTGACTTGCCCAGGGTCACACAGAGGCTAGTAAGTGTTATGTGTCTGAGGCCAGATCCAAACTCAGGTCCTCCTGAATCCAGGGCCAGTGCTCTATCCACTGCACCACCTAGCTGCCCCCTCCTGCTCTCTTTCTACCTCCCAGTAGAATATAAGCTCCTCAAGGACCAGGTTAGTTTTGGGGGGTTTTCTTTGTTGCTCTTTTTGTTTGTGTCTAACACAATTTTTGACATTATAAGTGCTTAACGAATGTTTTTTTGGATTGAATTGAAGGACATTGGATCATAGATCTAGAAGGACATTGGATCATAGATCTAGATGTGTAAGCAACATTTGGCTAACCTAGTACAAGCCAGCCCAAAGGTGAAGAGATGCCCAAAGCCAAACAAGTAATAAGTGACAATGACATAATTTAAAACCCAGTCCTCTGATTTTAAAGTCACCATTCTTTAGGGGCAGCTAGATGGTGCAGTGGATAGAGCACTGGCTCTGAAGTCAGGAGGACCTGAATTCAAATTCAGTCTCAGACCAAACACTTGACACTTACTAGCTGTGTGACCCTGGGCAAGTCACTTAACCCCAATTGCTTAAAAAACAAAAATAAAGTCATCGTTCTTTCAAACGTACCTAACTACCTGTCATGGTTAGGTGACCTTTTCTGTTGTAATCTCCACCAGCAGAAGGATTAACAGCTGAAACACACATAGTACTCATTGTTCTCATGTCATAGAGCTAGAGACCTTAGAACTCATCTGGTTTGACCTCCTCATTTTACAGAGGAGGAAACTAAAGTTCAAGAGGGATAAGGGTGTGCCCTTCCAGGTCTAGGATTCAAATTCAATTCCTCTAATAGTATGAGCAAAAAGAGCCCTGGATTTGGAGCCAAAAGGCATGGGTTAAATCCTGACAACCTCTTGCTACTATGTGATCTTGGTCAAGTCATTTCCACCCTGCACACTGCAGCTTCATGACCCATAAAACAATGAGCATGAGACTAGATAGCCACTAATGTTCCTTCTAGCTCTAAATCTCTGGTTCTAAATCCTGTACACTTTCCACTCTACCATACTGTCTTTCTACAAGCAGGAGAGAGTGGAATTCTGTGATTTCTTAGTACCTTGTGCACCTTGACACCTCTTTAGCTTGTTCTAAGCTTTGTGAGAGGCACTGTGCTTTCTAGCACCCACTCATCAGATTAGACTGCTAGTTAGGGACTCCCAGGAGATTACTCTTCCTGAGCACAACAATTACAGTAGACTCTAAAATCTCTTCTCTGTGCTAAATGGTTAAAGCAGAGCAGGGTCTGCAGAATGAAATTATTTCTTCTTTCTCTCCCCAGAGCTTTTTCCTACTTGTCCCACACTATTCCGGACTTCACTGATAACTGCCTAATCAACATCATGAAATGTGGGGAGGACATCTATGCTACTACAGAGACAAATTACATTAGGAAAATCAATCCAGAAACTCTGGAGACCCTGGAGAAGGTAGCTGTGAATTTCAAATCAGCAGCAACACTTGTCTTTGCTGTCCTGGCCTTAACTCAATAAGAATTCATTGACTGAGCTTCTGGTTGAGCTTCCTTGGGCCTGAAGAGATTGACCATAACCTTAGAGTATAACAGATGTGACTCCATGGCCCTGCAGCCTGGTCTCCAGATGCATATGGCCTGAAAGCATTGGTCTAGTCTGTTGGAATGTGTTACAGGAGACCTGAGATCAAATTCTGGATCTGCCACTAACTCCTAAGGACCCTGTCAAATCACTGTTCTCTTTGAACATCAGTTCCTCCTTTATCAAAAGAGGAGTTGGACAAGATGTTCTCCAAGATCTCCTCCAGCTCTGAAAGTGTATGAATCTGAGTAATGAGCATGGGTGTGGTAGGGAAGCCAAACTAACTTTCTAGCCAGTATAAGAGCAGTCACACAGTTCCTCTGACCCACAGATAAATGCTTCATCATTTTCTCCAGGACTGGCTCCAAGTTCTGATGCTTCTACAATGCACCTGGAAAGTTCTCTAAAGGGAGTGGTTTATATGGTTGTAATGCAATGTTCCCCTTCTGTGGACTTGCAGTCAGGAAGACCTGGGTTCAAATCTAGAAATGTCACATTTTCTGGCAATTTCTAGACTATGGAACAAGTTACTTAATCTCTTTAAGCCTGTTTCCTCATCAGTAAAATGAGGGGCCTAGACTAGATGGCCTTTAAGGTTTCTTTTCAACTCAGTCCTTGATCCTAATTTAGAGAGGGGTCTTCCCTTTGGGAGGGTTTTGAAGCCTTGGTAAGCAACTATTATAATTGGCAGGGAGCTGAGACATTCTAGTTCAATCTCTTCTGCCTCATGGTCATCAATCCAGGGCCTTCCCGTGGGGAAGCAGCAGTGTTTTTGATTCATTAATTTTACTGAACATATATCTACAAGTCTTTACAAATTTATGCCATTCTCTGTCAGCCTATGAGAAAAACCTGAAGATTTATGTCTCCAGGAAACTCAATTGGCAGGAATTAACCAGAATCACAAAGCCCAGTTGAGTCAGGATTAACACAATAGTCCTCAGATCCCCAGGCAGTTGCTGAGACCAGTGAGGTGCCTGCCTCTTTTCTTGATTCAGTCAGATCATTGAAAATAGTCAGATAACAGGAAGTGACCTGTTTCTCAGTACTTTCACCCTTTATAAAACTCATGCTGGGCAGCAGGACTAATGCCCATTTCCAAGTCTCTTCTGATTTATCAGGGTTTTGCTACATGAGTTTATTTGCATTCCCAGGAGGTCATTTGACCCAAGTTGTATATGAATATTCATTCTGTTGACCAACATGTTATGTGGTATTTTGCAGGTTGATTACCGTAATTATGCAGCCATAAATGTGGCAACTTCTCATCCTCACTATGATGCCCAAGGGAATGTCCTCAACCTGGGCACATCCATAGTTGACAAGGGAAAAACTAAATATTTGGTGTTTAAAATACCTCCCACAATGCCAGGTATGGATTCCTGATGAACATCTTCTCTTTTATCATCAATGATCAGCAGCGAAAAATCTGCCCTAGGATTCTTTTCTGAGGATTTTATTGGCATGTGACACTCAGTCATTTTTTTGTTTTGTCATTTTCCTCCTCTAATAATAGGGAGTTCTTTCCCTCATTTTGGTTTGGACCTGGTGACCTCAGAGGTCCCCTTTAACCTTGTGATTCTGAGATTCTCTGATATATCAGGCCTTATTATCCTCAACTATGTGGTCTCTAAGGTTCTCTCCAGCTCTAAATCTTATGATCCTATGACAGGATCATGATAGCAGGAACAGTTCCGGAACCAACATCTGGGTGCTAAAGGAAGAAAAGTCTTCTTTCACTAAATTGTTCCCAGTCCCACCTCTACTCTTCACCTAAGCCTGGGTATGATTAAACATGCCTTAGCCACTGCTTGAAACCTGACTCCTGGTTATATGGTAGCACTGCTCCCTGAGAGTGCATAAGGAAGCTCAGAGGCTCTTCATGGCCTCACCACAGAAACCATCTTAATAACTAACCTCTCACCCCTCTTCTGTCAGGCCCCTTGCACATATCTGCTAATTTCATTGACAGGCACAGGCATTTTCTGTGCCAAGTCTGAGGTTTCCTTGCAGGGATGTCTCCTGGTCCTCCTGGGAATGGGATGAGTTGTGATCTTACCTGACTAGAGCTGAAAAAATACTGAACACACTTAGAATCATGGGCTCTAGACTGGGAACAGACCTCAGCAATTTGTAGTTTAACTCCCTCATTTTACAAAGGAAAGAACCTACTGTCAGAGGGGGAAGGAACTTCTTCCAGAGCACACTGAAATTCCATGGTTCTACTTATAGCCTAATTTCCTTTATGATGGAGACAGAGGGGAACTAACACCCCATGTGACCTATGCATGTGTTCTAATTATGTAGTGTGCTATGAATATGGACTGACATTTGGGGAATTTTTCTTTAGAGAATAAAAAGAAGAAAAACAACTTAAAACACCTGGAAGTCATCTGCTCCATCCCATCCCGCTCTCTTCTCAACCCAAGCTACTATCACAGTTTTGGAGTTACTGAAAACTACATTATTTTTCTAGAGCAGCCCTTTAAAATGGATATTCTAAAGATGGCCACTGCCTACGTTCGAGGCACAAGCTGGGCTTCCTGCATTACCTTCCATGAAGAAGACAAGGTATACATCACATTCTATGATCACAGGCACCTGCTGGTGAGGCATCAACAATCCCAGCAGACATTTCAAACACAGCCAGGCCAGTGAGCTGGTGCAGTGGATACAGCACTGGGCCTAGAATAAGGAAGACCTGAGTTCAAATCCAGCCTCAGATACTTCCTAGCTGGGTGATCCTGGGCAAGTCACTTAACCTGTCTGCCTCAGTTTGCTCATCTGTGAAATGATGATAATAACAGCACCTACTCTCAGGGTCGTTGTGAGGACCAAATGAGGTCATGTTTGTCAAGTACATGACACAGAGTAGGCACTTAATAAATGTGCTTGCTTGCTTCCTTCCTTCCATCCCCTTTGCCACTTCAGCTTTCCCAACACATTCTAGGCTTCCCACTGGCCCCTTCCACCCAGGCCTCTGGTTTGTCAGACCAAGTAGAAGGCAGGATGTGGCTAAAGCTGAGAAGAGAAGGAGGCCAAATAAAGTACAGATGTGTCCACAACAGATGTTTACCAAGTAGAGTCCCTGAAGGGCTCAGGCACTTCCCCATCCACCTACTCTCAGCAGGGAATGGGAAGTTAGAATGTGGGCCCTATGTCTTCCTTGATTTCTGTTTTCCTGCATACAGTTGAACATGAGTTCCCTGAGGGCAGAAATCATGCAATTTTCATCTGATTGCAGCACGTTGCAATTCAATTCATTTCAATAAACATTTATTGCACACAACTACTTAATAAATGTTTGTTGAACAGAATTCCCATAAAAATGGGCAGAAGCTACTCAGCTTAAGGGACTACATCAAGCAGAGAGCATCAGAGGGGGCCTAAAGGCCGAATCTGTGTAACAGAAGAGAAATGTTTCTCAAATTACATGGGTAAACCCAGATCATAAGATCATGACATGGAACATAAAAGGAACTGAAACTGTTTCTCCTCATTACTACTGACAAATCTGACCACACTCTCCCCAGCCTGACCTTTCCCCCAACCACATATATAAACACTCCTCTGTGCATTGCTTGATTCTAAGGAAGGAGAAAGAAAAGGGAAGAGAAAAACAAGAAAAGTGGGGAGGAAAAAGGGAAAGGGAAGAGGAGAGGGGGATGGGAGGACAGTCTAGAACTAGCCTGTGAGAAAACAAAACTACCACTTCTCCCACCTCAAGCTTTTTGGTTAATCCAGGATAATTAGGCAAGGAGGCTAGTAAAAAGTAAAAACATGAAGAATAAACAAATATATGAGAGACAATAGCAGTGTGCAAACATGTCTAAATGATCTATGAGGAAATTCCAAAAGCAGACCTTTCAGAGTGTTGGAATTCCTTCCCCATGATACATCACTTGATAAGTAGGAAATGTCAAGTGTGAGATTGAGTGTAGAGATGAGAGGGATAAGAAATGTGTGGAGTGACTCCAGTGACCTGAGGGTGGGGACAAGGAGAGAGTGGATAAAATGGAAACTCTGCTCAGTGTCTTTTTATAGGGAAAGAGTCATCATATCCAGCATGAAAGCAAACACTACCCTAAGATCATCTTCAAAGGGAGGTTTGGGGGTGGTGCAGCATGGAAATTTAATAAACATCACTTGTCACCTAGATTCATGGGATCATGGGAAAACCCACTGACCAATATTTTATGTCCATCTTCTTTAAGACTTACATTCATATTATTGACCGAAGGACAAAAAAGACCTTGCTGACCAAGTTTTATGCTGATCCCATGGTTGTCTTCCATCATGTAAACGCCTATGAAGAAGATGGCTATATCGTGTTTGATGTCATTTCCTACAAGGACCATAGCCTTTATCAGCTCTTCTACTTGGCAAACTTGAATCAACACTTTGAGCACAACTCTAAACTTGCTTCCATACCATCTCTCAAGAGATTTGTCATTCCTCTTCAGGTGAACAAGGTAGTGTGATTACAAAACAAAAAAACAAAAATAATGAAATGGATTTTTAAAAGTAAGTAAATTCCTACCTCCACAAAAGTCCTCTTTGTAGTATGAAGGTGAGTGTGGGTTCTTGAAGGCTATGCCAACTGAGGAAAAGACATGACAGGTCCTACTAAGTTAGAAAGATTTCAAACATGGACTAGTGAGCAAGGACCAATCTAGCTGAGCACTGAGAGGCTTGAGAACAGTATAAATTCTTTGTCCATGACGACTAATGCAACAGAAAATGTTATTTCTAGTTCCAAAGAGGAAAAAAGACTCAAAAGAGAGTCTTGGAATGTTTGTCTTCTAACAAAAGTGTCTTCTCAACTTTTTTTCTGTCAAAGAATAGCTCAATCTGCAATTTAAAATGGAATGCATAAATCATGTACTTGGCCTTACTTTGCCTAACAAGATTTGCATGGCTCAGTTCCACCTAAAGACATCTTGGTTGATAGACATATCTATCATCCTCTCTCAAAAATATTTTATAGGGTCATAGGATTTAAGAATGAAAGAATTTCACAAGCCATCAAGTCCAACCCTCTCATTATAGATCAGAAAACTGAGATGAAGATCAGGAAAAGGAAGAGGAACTTGCCCATATTGGGGATGGATTTCTGGAAATAATAATTAGCTATGCTTTTGCCAAAGAAACATTTTCATAGTGAAACATTTCTCAGAAAAACTGGGCAACATACACACATACACACACTTGCTGTCCTAAATCCCCTGAATGTGCAGACCAACTGAGGTTAGAATAAAGGTGTAGAAGGACAGATACCCTTGGCACCCTTGAACATGTTTACATGGGGATGTGTGGAGGTGTCCAGGGCAGAGTAGAGCCAGGCCGAGGCAGAGCAGGGGAGAGGCAGGGCAGGGCAGACATGTACAGACTCTCCACAAAACTGGCTTGTCTACACTCCTACTGAAGGGCTCATTGTGAAGTGGGGTTATAACTAGGCCAAGATCTTGGCAGCTGCTGAAGGATCTTCCCATCCCCCTCAAGGCAGAATTATAAGAAGGGGACCACTTGAGCTCAAAGGCAGGAAAATGAACTCAGTATATTTGATGACTTTTTTCCAATATAAAAACATAGACATTTTTCAAGTAGTCCTCTTTAGAATATCAAGGAAATTACATCCACTTTCTCATATAATTCAAAATAAAGATCTGGAACCTTAATCCTTCCACTGCTACCCTAAGAAAAAGGCATGAGACTTTTTCTTGTTTATTAGGGCTTGACAAAGCCACTTACCACCTCTTACCATCAGAAAGAGCCCAAGCTATTTTTATTGCTGCTTATATAGAAAAGTCCCATTTTGTCCCACAAGTTGCCTGACTGGTTTTAAGCTGTGGTTCCAATATGACTATGTAGAACTACACCTTGAAAGTCAAGTTTGGGAAATGCAGCTGGAGGTCTGTGACTATAATAATCAAGCTTACTTTGAAGCACACAGGGGACACCTAGTAACAAATTTTTATTGAAATGAATTGAGCAATAAATAAAGGGCTCACATATAATTATCCAATTTATAGATCTCTGGGGAACTTATTTCTTGTTTCTACCAGAATCTGAGAGATTTTAGGGGAGGGTAAGGAGTTTTTCAAGGTGATAATGAGTTGAGGGGTTAGGGTAAAGAAGGGTGGATTATCATAGGTCTTATAGTTGGGATTTTCTCAGACTCTTCAATGGATATGACACAGGAACTTCTATCAGTTAGAATGCCTAGGATCAACAGTGATTCTTGTGTGCAATACTAAATAGCTTACACCAGATAATTAATCAACAAGTGTTTATTAAGTTCCTACTAGGTACCAGACATTCTGCTAGGGAATACAAATACAAAAATGAGACAGTCCTTGCCCTCAAGGAGTTTACATTCCACAAGGGAAATTCATTGTGTTCACAGATACAAATACATACAAAAATGTATGTGTGTGTGTGTGTGTGTGTGTGTGTGTGTACACATAGTGATTTGGAGGGTAGCCCTAATAGCTGGGAGGGATCAAGAAAGACTTCCCAAAGAAGGTAAGGATTCCAGGAGGCAGAGGTGATGAGGGAGAGCATTCATGGCACAGGGATAGCCTGAAAAGGCAGGGAGGCAGGAGACAGGATGTCATGCACAGGAAACAGCATGTAGGCCAGTTTGGATGGAACATATATAGTTCATAAAGAGAAGAGATGTGTAATCAGCTTGGAAAGAGAGGTTGGAACCAGATTGTTGAAAGGTTTTAATGCCTAACAGAGGAATTTGTATTTTAACCTAAAAGCAATGGGAAGCCACTGAAGCTTCTTGAGCACAGAAATAACATGGTCAGACCTAGGCTTTAGAAATTAGCTTATAGCTTCTACATTAAAGGACCACAGGGCATGGAATATAATATTCCAGAGGTCAAAGGAGATAGGATTACAACCAAGAATCACCTACCCAGCAAAACTGAGTATAATCCTTCAGGGGAAAAAATAGACATTCACTGAAATAGAGAACTTTCAAGCATTCTTGATGAAAAGACCAGAGCTGAATAGAAAATTTGACTTTCAAATACAAAACTCAACAGAAACACAAAGAGGTAAATAGAAAAGAGAAATCATAAGGGACTCATTAAGGTTGAACTGTTTACATTCCTGTAGGGAAAGATGATATCTGTAACTCATGAGACCTTTGGCAGTATTAGGGTAGTTGGAGGGAAAAAATTATATGTATGTATATATAGGTAGATAGATAGATAAATAGAGGGCACAGAGTGAGTTGAAGATGAAGGGCTGATATCTGGAGATTGAAATTAAGGGGTGAAAGGATTATACTGGGAGAAGGAGAAAGGGAGAGGTAGAATGGGGTAAATTATCTCACATAAAACAGACAAGAAAAGGGTTTTACAGTGGAGGGGAAACAGGAGAAGGTGAGAGGGAATGAGTGAATCTTATTCTCATAGGACTTGGCTTAAGGAGGGAATAACATATACACTGATTTGGGTATGGAAATCTATCTTACCCTACAGGAAAATAGGGGGAAGGGGACAAGAGAGCAGGGGAGGGAGTAATCAGAAGCAAACTCTTCTGAGGAGGGACAGGGTCAAAAGAGAGAATAGAATAAATGTGGGTGGGATAGGAATAAGGGAAACATACTTAGTTTTTCACATGACTACTGTGGAAGGGTTTCGCATTACTACACATGTATAACCTGAAAAAAAAGTAGCTTGAAAGTACACGAAGAATGAGGGACACAAACACAGTGGATCAATCAACAGGCATTTATTAAGACATTATTTTGTGTCAGCCTCTATGCTAAGAATTGATGATACAAAGAAACAGTGAAAACAGTCCCTGTTTTCAAGGAATTTACATTCTAATCGGGGAGACAACATGTACATGTATCAGTATATGCAACATACATACAAAGGAGATACAAGCGACTCTTGAGGAAAAGGCCTGCCTTGCTTGATGTTCACTTGTGAAATGTAGGCTCTTTGAGGGCGTGGACTATCTCACTTCTGTATCTGTATCTCCTAGCAGAGTGCCTGGCGCCTAGTAGGAACCTAATAAAGGTGACACTGGAGCTGAGTCTTGAAGGAAGCCAGAGATTACAAGAGGAAGAAATGAGGAAAGAGAATATTCCAGCACGGGGGACAAGCAGTATAAAGGCATGGAGACGAATGAATAGAAAGTCAGTCAGTGTGGCTAAATTATAAAGTTCACGGAGGAGAGTAATGCATGAGAAGATTGAGAAGGTAGGAAGAGCTAAAAGAGAGAGAGAGAGAGACAGAGAGAGAGAGAGAGAGAGAGAGAGAGAGAGAGAGAGAGAGAGAGAGAGAAAGAATTTATATTTGACCCTAGAGAAAATAGAGAGTACTAGAGTTTATGGGGGGGGGGGGCACTGATGTAATCAGATCTGTGTTTTAGGAAAAAACATTTTGGCATATGGGTGGAGAGTAGTTTGAAATGGGGAGAGACTTGAAGCAAGGACAATACATGTAATTAGGAATCTACTGAAATAGTTCAGGTAAGAAGTAATTAAGGGTTTGAACTAGAGTGCTGGCTGTGTGAGTGCAGAGAAGGGGACATGTGAAAGGGATGTTGTGGAGATGGAAATAATAAGATTTGGCAACTGATTAAATATATGGGGAAGTGGGGAGAGTGAGAAGTTGAAAATGATACGAAGCTTGTGAATCTACATGACCACTAGAACAGAGGAGTCCTTGACAATAGGGAAGTTAGAAAGAAGGGCGGATTTTAGGAGAAAGATAATGAGTTCTCTGTGATTAATTTGAAATGTCCGATTGGCAGTTGGTGATATGTTATTGGGACTTGAGAGAAAGACGAAGTCTGGACCTACTTATCTTGGAATCACCTGCAAAGAGATGATAAGAGCTGATGAGATCACCAAGTGAGGGAATATAGAAAGAAAAGAGGGCCCTGGACAGAGCCTTTGGGGTACGCTCACAATTTAGAGAGTGATATGGATGATGATTCAGCAAAATAGACTAAGAAGTGGTCAGATAGGTAGAAGGAAAACCAAGAGAGAGCAGTTAGGAAAATTCCAGAGAAGACAAAGTATCCAGGAGAAGATGGCCAATAATGTCAGATGCTTCAGAGAAGTCAAGAAAGATGAGGGCTGAATAAAGGCCATAAGATCTGGCAATTAAGAGATCAGTGGTAACTTTGGAGACAGTAGTTTCATCTTAGTAATGCAGATAGAAGACATTGCAGAGGACTTAGAATATGAGGAAAGGAAATGGAGGCATTGAGTTTAGACATTTTTTCTTTAAATTTTTTTTTTAAATCCAGAAGTTTAGCCAATATAATTTTTGAAATCTATTTTATCGATAATTTGTTTTTACATCCCCTATATTTCTCTTTGATATCTTACCTATCTTCTTCTATTTCATCCCCTTCCTCTTCCTAGACATACATCCCATATAACAAAAAAATTTTTAGACAAGTTTTTCAAGAATTTTAGCTAAGAAGGGAAGGAAGTAATTGAGATGTTAGCTAGTAGATGGCAAATCCAAAGGCAAAATAGGCTTGCATATATATATACACACAGAGAATGTTAGCACTAGGACCTTAGAGATCACCTAATTCTAATGGCAGAGCCACCTGACACGTCAACTTCAGATCTCAATTCAACTGCCATAGTCCCTTTCCCCTGCCTACCAAGTCCTCATCAACTCTTTCTTGGTAACCCATGATTCCTGATGGGTAGCAGGATCACCTACCCTAGCAGCCAAGAACTGCTGCAGAGCCAGCACCCAGAATGGATCCATAGAAGGCACCTACACAATATGTCTGCTTTGTCCCCTTTGCAAATGCTGGTCCTGCTCTGTTCTATCATCCCTTCCTACCTATGCTACTCTAAACCATATATTAGTGGTCTGAAAGATTCCCTGAATATTTTGCCACTAGGGAGACATGAGTACAGAAAAAAATAAAAGAATTAGGCCAGTGATTTGCTTCTAGAAGAATAACAACACCAGGCATCATGCTCTGCAATTTATAAAACACTTTCATACATAGTTATTTGCATCTTGTCTCTCTCATTAGACTGTGAGCTCCTTGACAGCAGGGACTGTTTTTTGCCTTTCTTTGCATCCCCAGAGCTTAGCCCAGTGCCTGACACATCGTAGGTACTTAATAAATGTTTATTGACTGACTGGCTTTAAAATAGAAATTAGTTCATTTGATCTCACAATATTCCTTTAGGGAAATAGGACATGATTATCATCCCCATTTTATAAATAAGGAATTGAGGTTCACACAGATGGAGAACCTTGCCTAAAGTTCCAAAGGAAGAGCCCAGGTATTCCTTCTCCTAAATGAGACTTTTCCTGTATGCCATGCTGCTTTAAAATGTGATTAAACTTCAAATAATTTAATGATAAATCCCTAAAAAGCTGGGGTTTATAACTAGGAGTGAAAGTATTAGGTAATATAGAGGGAAGATGGGGTCATGGAAAGGGCCAGGAACCCCACTCCACTGCTAGTACCTGACTTCCCATTTACATTGTATAGATTTGGTATGTACAGAGTAGTTTCTTTGTCATCTTCCCCATTAGAATATGAGCTTCCTGGGGGCAGGTACCACCATATTTTGTCTTTTCTTTGTATCCTCAGCACTTAGATCAGTGTTTGGCATATAGTAGGCACTTAATAAATGCTTGTTAATTGATGATAAAATCAAGAAAGCTCGGTTTGAACTTAGGATCTGATCCCTACTAGCTGTATGACCATGGGCAAGTCAGGAAATCTGTCACTAACCAGTTTAGGACAGGTTTTTTTTTTTTGTCTTCTCTGAACATCAGTGTCCCCATATGTAAAATGAAAGAGCTGGATTAGACGACCTAGCAATGAATTTCTATCATTCTAGATTTAACAACTACTAGACTTTAGCTGGGTCACTTGTGATTTTTTTTAAAAGGAAAACTGATTCTTATGCATTTAAATTTCATCTGAAAGCAACATTCTAATAGAAAAAAAAATGGCTTGAAATATTAAACTCTTTTAGGATGCAGAAATGGGTGAGAATTTAGTCAAACTTGAATCAACAACAGCAACTGCTCTGAAGGAAAAAGATGACCAAGTCTACTGCCAATCGGAAGACCTATGTGAAGGTAAATGTGTTTTCTCCACCCATATTTAGGGAGGGGGACAAATTTTTATAAAGTTTCATGAAGCATCCTCACTTTGAACCTACATCCTATTTCAGCGCAGTGTCATCACTCAGCTGGGCCACACTACCTTGAAGACATATATGGTTTGAAATGTGTGCTTCACAACACCTAGAGTTCATCTAGCCCAAACCTCCCATTTTAGAGATGAGGAAACTGAGGCTCAGAGAAGGGAAGTGGCCTTCCCAAGGCTATAGAGGTAATAAGTGGCAGAGCCAGAATTTAAACACAAATCCCTGGACTACAAATCGAACTCCCTTGCCATGGTACCACACTGTCTCTCCCAGATAAGGACAAAAAGGAAAAACTTGGGGCAGCTAGGTGGCACAGTAGATAGAGCACCAGCCCTGGAGTCAGGAGGACCTGAGTTCAAATCCAGCCTCAGACACTTGATACTAGCTGTGTGACCCTGGGCAAGTCACTTAACTCTGATTGCCTTCCCCTCCCCCTCCCCCCTCCCCCCCCAAAGGAAAAACTCTCATAAATTAACTAGAAAAGGATGAAAACAAAACATGCAGTTGGGAGACTAGGGCTCATATCCTACTTCAGACACCCACCTTACTAGCCATGGTTTCTTAAATATGTCACTTCCATTTCTCTCAACCTGTTTCCTCATTTGTAAAATACGGATAATAACATTTGCCCTATCCACCTCAAGGAATTGTTATAAGCAAAATTTTGTAAACTTTTAAACAATACAGAAATGGAAGTTGTTGTTGTTACTCTGCTATTGAACAGTTTCAATAAGATAAGGCTGGATCATCACCTCAGAAAACCAGATTTACCTTTTTTTAATTTAGCAATTCTACATCTACTATATGCTTTATATTAAAAAAAAAACCCTTGAGGTTAGGATGGAGTCTATCCTCCTGCTAAATAAAGTACAGCCTTGTAAAGAGGGGTAGACAGAGAAAAAGAGGAGGATGTGGATTGGTTCATCTCCTCTCCATGCTCAGCCATTCCTTTCTGTACATACAGGGGAGAAAAGAGACAACGAAATAATTAAACCTCAGTCATCTGTGCTAATAAAAGGTAGCAATGGCATGAACAAATCACTCAAAAACTATTTCTAGTTTATTTGACTACGGAATATATGATGGTTTTGGGGGTCACAGTTTTCCCTTCATAATTATTCTTTGCTTAGACAAATATTAAGATTAATTTGTGCTCCTTAAGAATATACTAATTAGGGGCAGCTAGGTGGCGCAGTGGATAGAGCTGCAGACTTGGAGTCAGGAGAATCTGAGTTCAAATCCAGCCTCAGACACTTGACATGTCCTAGCTGTGTGACCCTGGGCAAGTCACTTAACCCCAATTGTCTTGCCAATCAATCAATCAATAAATGATTAAAAGAAGATATTTGCAGTATTTAAAAAAAAGAATATACTAATTAATAATGTCCCAGAACTATTCTGTAGAAGAAGGCTACCTATAATTAGAAATGTTGTAGATGATGAAAACTATGTACGAAGAGTTTGTCTGAATAAAGTTTGAAGGGAACCTAAGCTGGTAGGTTAAGATAGCTCTTTGAACCAGTCCCTAAAGAACCTCAACAACAACCACCAAAAAAAAACCCACCTAGTAATCAGAGATGTTTATTTTCCCAGGTGTCAGATAGTTCCTTGCAAATAGAAGTTTCAGTTCAGCTCTTAGGAATGAGCTGGGTCTGAGTTAGCTGCTGACATGATCTTCAATTCAATTGGACATTTATGCTATATGGAAAGCCCAGTGCTAGGCACTAGGGGACACAGAAACAAAAATGAACAATCCCTGTCCTCATTACTTACATTCTACAGTACACAGAGAAATATTATATAAGGTAGGGTGTGATGGTGGCAAAGTAGAGATCAGACGAAATGTCTGCGAAAATTAGAGGAAGATCAATATGCTTCAAGTTGAAGGGATCAGGGCATACTAAATAAAGAAGGCAGCTCCTTAGCTAAGGCTAAGATAAGGATTCCAAAAGGTGGAAATAATAATAATAATAATAGGAGCTCATATTTATATAATACTTATATAAACACTTATTAAGTGTTTTACAAACATTGTCTTATTTGGTCTTCACAACAACCTTATTATGTGGGTGCCATGATTATCTACATTTTACAGATAAGGAAACTGAGGTTAAGAGAGTTAATTGCCCAGTATTCGAGACAGAATTTGAACCAAGGTCTTTCTGACACCAAAACTAGTGCTTTGCCCCACTGCCTCTCCTAATGGAGAAGGGAGTGCATTCTAGGCATGGTGGATTCTGCCTGCACAAATACACAGAGGCAAGAGATGGCATGCACTGAACAGCTGCTAGCCTAATTTGGTTGGAATGTAGACCAGAAATAATGTGAAATTATATTTGAGGCCTGGAGTTCTTAAGTCTTTAGTTGCATGATTAAAGAAGCCACTATCAGTTTCTGTGACTAGGGAGCGCCAAATACCCAGATCTGTGGGCAGGTGCAGGGCCACTCCCCAGGAAGACAGGAAGTCACTGAAAATAAGATGTTGTCACTAATGGCCTCATACTTGGCAAAACATTTGAATTTGCCAATAAAAACAAACCCTCTTCTGGTAGAGTATAGCAATACCTGGGACAGTTTCTGTCAGACCTGGCTTTGGTATTCCTTAGAAAAATGAACTGATTTTACTCCATTTTGGGGGGAGGTCTCAGGCCTACTTCATGATTAATGTCCTATCCTTTTCTCCTTGTGTTCCTGTCCCCTTAAGTCCTTGTCCCCTGGTATTTCATCTCTCCAAGTCTCAGTTCTTCTGTCCTATGAATCTCCTGTTTCCTAGGTCCCTTCTCTCAGAGCCTTCTCTTCCTGAGGGTATGTGGACTATGAGTTCCCTGGAATCTGATTACTTTTGGAATCTGATTACACTCTGAATCAGGAAATTATCTTTGACCTGTGCCATAGCCAATGCTTATAAAAAGGTAGCAGCCTCGCAGGAGACTAGCCCAACATGTCAAGCTTCCTGGTTTGCTTCATGAAGGTCATCTCAGTCTAAATACTCTCTATCAGAGCCAAGATATTATCTCCTCACCCCAGGGGGCTTGAGCTTCTCCTAGGAGCTTCTCACCTTGGTATCTATCTAGCTATGTACATGAAAGAGTTCTTAATTACCAATTTATGGGGCAAGGCAACTCCTCCCCAGATCAATATCCCACTCCCACTGAAACCTTTCCTGCTACACCCAATAGTCTCGGGCACCCTTAAGTTTCTCTTTTGAAACACAGGTGGAAAGGTTATTCACCCTTTAAAGTTTCTTCTGAAAGATTTTCTGATTTTCTCTGACATCTTGCCTTCATTTGTATTTCCCCACATCTTATTAAAAATGTTTCATAAAATTATTTGTAGTTTAGTCCTAATGCCTAAGGTTGATTTTATTTATCAACTTCTAAAAATATATTTAAACACAGGTACATAAAATGTGTGTGTGTATAATCATAAGGATCTGAATTTCCTTTTTTTCTAAAGAGCTAAAAGAACTGTTGTGATTTCATAGTCATTAAGTTGTGATTTCATAGTCATTAAACTATATTGGATTTGTCTTGTAAAATTTTATACACTTAAAAGATATATATCTTTCCTAATTTATTAAATAGTCTTCAGTAGTCAAAAAAATTAACAGATAGGGATTTGTTTACCTTTGGATATCATATTTAAATGAATTACATTTTCCATGGAGTTTATCCTGGCCAGCTATAAATCAGTCTTGCAGGATGCTAGAGTAGTGCTATGGAAGGAGTCTAGGATTGGAGTCAGAAGATCTGGTCTTGAGTCTTAGCTCTGCCACTGACCTTTGGAAATGCAATTCCATCTGTCTGATCTTCATTTTCCTTTTTCTTTTTTAACTTTTTAATTAACTTACTTTGAATTATTAACAATCATTTCCATAAGCTTTTGAGTTTTAAATCTTTCTCCCCCTCCCTCCCCAAGATGGTGCACAATCTGATATAGACTATATCTATCTATCTATCTATCTATCTATCTATCTATCTATCTATCTATTCCTATTAAATATATTTTCACAATAGTGATGTTGTAGGTAAGAATTAGAAACAATAGAAGGAACCATCAGAAAGAGGAAACAAAACACAACAGAAGAAAAAAAAATAGCAAATAGTGTGCTTCGATCTGCATTCAAACTCCATAGTTCTTTCTTCTTTGTGGATAGCATTTTCCATCATGAGGCCTTTTGAGACATCTTAGATTCTTGTATTACTGAGAAGGGTTAAGTCTATCAATATTAGTCTGGTCTTAATTTTCATCTTTGATGGGGATAATAATTTCTATCTATTTCACAGGATTGTTGTGAAGCTCAAATTGTTAGTTTGCAGAGCTGGACAACCATTAGAGCTCTCTAACCCAACTCCATAATTTTATAGATGAGGAAATCAAGGCCCAGAAAGGAGAAATCACCTGCCCACGGTTACAATGCACATAAAGAGCAGAGCCAGGAATCAGAATGGTTCTTTGGACTCCAATGCCAGTGCCATTCCACTTAATGTCCTGTTGCTTCTCTTCATATTAGGTGCATAAAGCACCTTTTGTTTTAAAAAGACCCATTAAGACCCACATACATGTGAGCTATTATTATTATTAACAGAGACAAGGCTAGAGAATTTCCAATGAAAATGTGAACAATCCTCTTCCTTTTGATGTCTCCTTGATGATACATTTGAATTCTTCATTTCTTTTAGGGATTGAGCTGCCCCGTATTAATTATGCTCATAATGGGAAAAAATACAGATACATTTATGCAGCAGAAGTGCAGTGGAATCCAATTCCAACAAAGGTAACATATTTAAAGGTCATTAAAATATCACACACTGGTTTCTGTGATGATGACTCAATTTGCTTTTAAGTGGGACACACCCAAATGCACGGAAGACTGCTGGTGCCAGTAACAAAAATAGGCAAGCTGGAAAAGGGTGCCAGTTCAAAGGAGAAAGGGTGGTGATGTTTCAAATGCGCTGAATTTGAGGTGACAGGATATCCAGATATCTAGTAGAGTACTTGACTAAAGCTTAAGAGAGAGATCAGGCCTAAAGGTAAAGATTTCCATACTGAAAAGATAATAAAGAAGAGAAGAAGTTAGTGAGGAGACAGAAGAGTAAGTCAGAAAGGCAAGAGGAGAAATAGGATACTGTGTTGCTGTTATTGTTAAGTTGTTTCAGTGCATGTCTGACTCTCTGTTACCCTATTTGGGGTTTTCTTGGCAAAGATACTGGAGTGGGTTACCATATCCTTTTTGAGCTCATTTTACAGGTGAGGAAAATGAGGCAAACAGGGTTAAATGACTTGCCCAGGGTCACATAGCTAGTAAGTATCTGAGACCAGATTTGAACTCTGGTCTTCCTGACTCCAGGCCCAGCACTCTATCCACTGAGCCACCTAGCTGCCTCCAAGAATACTGTAATGTCACGCATTAAGATAGAGTTGCAAGAAAGAGAAAGTATCAAATGTGACAGAAATTTCAAAGAGCATGAGGACTGAGAAGAGGTCGTTGGACTTCCTTATTTCCTTTTTTGACAAGATTACTAAACTAACAGAATAGAGACATAATGTAGATATAATTTACAAATTATTTGTAATAATAATAATGATAGCTAGCATTTATAGAGTGGTATAAGGTTTACAAAGTGCTTTATATATGCAGTTTCATTTGGTCCTCACATCAATCCTGTGATATAGATAATATTATCATTCCCAATTTACAGATGAAGAAACTGACCTTGAAAGAGGTTAAGTGGTTTGCCTAGGGTCATACAGGCATTAAGGATTTGAGGCAGTATTTGAACTCAGGTTTTCCAAACTGCAGGTCCAAAACTCTACCCTGCAAAAAATGGAGAGATCTGGATAGGATGATAAAACAATTGGATGGATTCATACTGATTGAATGGCCTAACACAAAGAGTAGTCATTTAATGATTCAATGTCAACTTAAAAAGATTTCTGGAGGACAGGGTCAAAAGAGAGAATAGAATAAATGGGGGGTGGGATGGGATGAAGGAAAATATACTTAGTTTTTCACAACATGACTACTATGGAAGTGTTTTACATGACTACACATGTATAACCTGTATCCAGTTGCTTGCCTTCTCAATGAGGGTGGGTGGGGAGGGAGGAAGGGAGAAATTTGGAACCCCAAAGTTTTAAAAACAAATTTAAAAAAAATTTGTTTTCACATGCAACTGGGAAATAAGATATACAGAAAATGAGGTATAGAAATCTATCCTGCCCTACAGGAAAATTGAAGGGGAAGTGATAAGAGAAGGGGGGGGAATAGAAAGGAGGGCAGATTAGGGGAAGGAGTATTCAGAATGCATGCCATCTTGGGGTGGGGGGAGGGATGAAATGTGGAGAAAATTTGGAACTCAAAATCTTGTGGAAGCGAATGTTGAAAACTAAAAATAAATTACTTAATTAAAAAAGAAATCATGAGCAGGTAGATTTCAAAAAAATCTCAAACTACTTACATGAAGTGAGCAGAACCAAGAGAATATTGTACACAGTAACAGCTACACTGTGAGATGATCAACTATGATAGACTTAGCTCTTCTGAGCAATACAATGATGCAAGACAATTTTAAAAGACGCATAATGGAAAATGCTATCCACATCCAAAGAAAGAACTATGGAGTCTGAATGCAGATCAAAACATACTATTTTCACTTTTTAATTTCTTTATTGTGGTTTTTCCCTTTTGTTCTGATTTTTTTTTCACAACATTACTAACATGGAAATATATTTAATATGATTATATACATATAGCTTATATGAGATTGCTTCCTGTCTTGGGGAGAGAGGAAGAAAAATTTGGAAATCAAAATCTTATAAAAGTGAATGTTGAAAACTATCTTTACATGCAACTGGAAAAAAATAAAATACTATCAAGTGGAGGAGAAAAAAAGGTTTCTGGGAGAGTGCCCGAAGGCATCTGTGCTTGACCCTGTTCTGTTTAAGATTTTTTTTTAATCCATATTTGAGTAAAGGCAGAGATTGCCTGCTCTCAAATTTACAGATGACACAAGATTGGGAGGGCTAGCTAACAGATTGGATGATAGAGCTGGGATTCAAAAGGATCTTGATGGGCTAATGCATTAGGCTGAATCAAAAAATAATTTCAATTAAGATAAATATAAAGTATTACCATTGGACTAAAAAAATAATTTCACAAGTACAGTACTGAGGAGGAATAGTTAGCAGCTTATGTAAAGAAGATCTTCAGGTTGAGTGGACTATAAGCTCAAAAGGAGTCAGCAGTGTGATGTGGCAGCCATAAAAGATAGGTATGTTGATGAGTGGATTCTTATTCAGGTATAGAACAGAGTAGATGACCTCTGAAGTTACTTTCAACCCTGAGACCCTGATTCTGAGTGATTCTGAGTCAAGAAGGTATAGGTTCTTGGCAGAGCTATAACCAGGAAGAGTCAAGAGAAGCATTTTCTTTGGCCACACAAAGTTGACAGAAGAAAATATATGGAATATGCTTCTACTCTCCCAAGTATGTCATACTTTTAGGTTAGGTGACATAATTTTATATTTTTGCCTCAGCTGCAAAATTAACTGGTTCTTAGTACCATGGAGCAACTCAATTCAAAGAAAAGTAATACCTTTTTGTATGACACTCAGGAGAAGCTTGAGAAGATCATAATAAAGACAGATATGGTAAGGTGAAGAAGACATTAAATGAAGGAGAGAATACTCTTCTGAATTCATGCAAAGGAATTATAAACATATATAGAGAAAAACAACCAATCTTCTAGAATTAATATGGAAGTGGAATGGGAAAATCTGCAAAATAAGGCAAAATGGCTTTTTCTTGATGTCATGGAATGAGAGATGATGAAAAATGAATGAACAGCAACCTAATTACAAAGCCTGTTAGCTGAAATAAACACTGAGCCATAACTGAATGGAGGAACACCAGGGCCCATCAAAGCCAACAGTGTTCATGTATCAGCTTGTCAATGATGATGGAGGACTGTGCATCAGCTCCCACCTGCCAGGTGTGGGGGTTAATCTAACTGGTTTCCTGGCCTACCTTCTCTATGGACATAACTGTAAATTAACGTTGATTCTGAAAAAGCTAACCTCATGTTTTATTTGGAGAAGCAAGTGAAACCTTTTCAGGCTTCAGGATTTTATTTTCCTTATAAGACAGATTTCTACTGTAAAACTCATTGGGAATAGAAACCAGACCTGTGGCTCTCCTGTCAACATTATACAGATGTTCAAACCTTCCATAAATGTTTACTTTTAATGGTGAGAGTTGCTGTTATCCTATCATCCCCTCCACATACCCAGGTTTCAATGTGTTAGTTAGAAAGTTTGATTGCATGTATTGTACTCAGATATAGAAAACACAACATCACAAAAATTTAGTCACTATTTGTCTTTCTTTTAAATACACAGATAACGAAATTTGATATTCTGACAAAGTCATCATTAAAATGGGGGGAGGAGCACTGTTGGCCTGCTGAGCCTGTGTTTGTGCCTGCACCTAATGCACAACAAGAAGATGATGGTAAGAGCTTTTGGCCTAATGAATACTCTGCTCTGTTTTCATAGTAAGCCATGGAATCAGCTTCCAAAGCAACTAATTTGGCAGGGTCAGAAAATGTAATTGTTTCCCTGTCAAACCAATTCAATTCAATCCAGCATTGACTTACTAAGAGGCAGTGCATCCTAGTGGATAGAGAGCTGGTCTCTAAACCAGGGAGACCGGGTTTCAAGTTCCACCTCTGACAGACTAGTCATGTGACCCCAGGCAAATCACTTCAGCTCTCACTCTCTAGGCAAGTCAATAAGATTGTAAATGGCAGAGAAGGTGCCATTGGTAGAGGGAGAATCCTCTCTCAGGAGCTGCCTATACCAATTTAATCATAGGTCCTGTCCCTATCTCTAAGCTTTTACTTAGCTAGGTGTAAGGTTTTTGGCACTGGGGATAAATACAGAAATTAAAAATTGACACTGTCCCTGGCCTTGAGAAACTTACATTTTAGAAAGAGGAGGGGGAAAAAACATGTATACAGATATGTCAGGGCTATACACAGCATGCAGGCAGATGGAGGGAATCCATGAAAAGCAGCATGGTGAAATGCAGGGGTCCTTAACTTTTTTTGTTTCATGAACCCCTATGACAGTCTAGAGGGGCCTATGGACCATTTCTCGGAATAGTTTCTAAATGAATAAAAGAAATATGTAGAATTGAAAGGAGATCTATTATACTGAAATACAGTGATAGATAGACAGACAGATAGATGATAGATGAACAAGTTCACAGACCCCACCTCTGGACTTAAGAGTCCAGAAGCCTGGGTTTAAGGCCAGTTATGACATTTATTGTCTATGTAACCATAAGTGGATTCAGGTTGAAAAGGTCATGACCTTTCATAGGGATGAAGTCCCTTACAGATGTAGTGGTAGGGTGATGTTAGGGGTGGGGGTAGGAAGTGGGGAGAAGGAAGGTCTTCAACTTCTCATTATGTGAATACGGAATCATTTTTCCCATGATCTGTCTCTACCTTTCTACTGTGGTTCATTTGACCCTATCTCCTACTTCATCACTTTCTTCCACATTCCTTAAAGATGTATAATATTGAGGGTTGGAGGCAGTTGTAGTTGGAAGTCAATTCTCATGGCTGCAGGAGCTGCCTCAGTCCCAAATTTTAGTGGAGATGCTACTCCTCTCACCCTACAACAAAGATATAGGGGATTTATAGAAAGGAAGAAAGGAACTTTAAAATGTTTTCAAATGTTTTGGTAGATATCAAAACATCAGAGGGCTAGAAGTTAGGAGATCTGGGTTCTGGTCCAGTTCTGTAACTGTGTGCCCTTGAGTGAGTCATTTAATTTCAGTGGGTCCTAGTTTCCTCATTCATGACTGGTCTTTAAGGGTTCTTTCAGCTTTATAAAAGAAAGTTCTGTTAACAATGGTCAGAATCATTGACATAGGCATGCCACTAAACAGACCTAAGAGAAACAGATATTCCAGAAAATCGTATTCTGTACCCCAGATTTATAGCAGGAAGTATCTCACAGTACTTCTTCCACCTTTCAATGAAGTCATCCAGTTTCAGTCAAGATAGGGAGAAATGGCAGGGCACCCCATTAGATATCTACCCCAATCATTTTGCTACCCAGAACCTTCTCGTACAGTTCATATAGCAACATAATAGTGGCAAGAGCATTAGTCTCGGGGTTATAGGATATAAAGCTGAGCCACAACTTACAGACTTACTGGCTGTTTCACTTCAGTCAAGTAACGTCATTGCTCTGGATCTCAATTCCCTCCATGTAAAATAGGGATAAGAATGCTCCTACTAGATATCACACACAATGAGGAAAGCATTGTAAAATCCTCTTGGGGATGCAGAAAGAAACTTAAGTTGTCATCACTGAAGGTTCAGGCTTTCTTGGCCTCTGTGCTATTTCTCTAGCATGCCAATATATTTATCTGAACAGTCCAGTCACTGGCCTTCCTACCAGCTGGAGGTCAACTAGTCCAGCCCCCTCATTTCACAAAAACAAATAAACAAACAAAAAAAAACCCTGAGGACCAGAAATATTTGCTCCAAATCACAGTTAGGAAGATGCAGAGACAGGATTCAAATTCAGGTCCTCTAAATCAAAATTCAATGTTCTTTCCATCACATGACACTGGAAAGGGGAAAACATAAAAAAGTGACATGAGGAGAAGGGAATTCAGCAAATTGTGAGACACAACAGCTCCAGTGGCTCATCTTCCTAATCCATCAGGTTGGTCCATAGACCCACACAGCATACCACCCCTAATTCTTATCTCTTAGATTCAACTTTACTTCAGCATTAATATTAACAGTTGACATTCTTTATTTTAATCTCATTTGAGCCTTACAACAATCTTATGAGGTAGTCACTACAGATATTATCATTCCTATGTAACAGATGAGGAAACTGAGGTACACAGTAATTAAGGACTTTCCTATGATACACTAGTAAGGGTCAGAGGTAGGATTTGAACCTAGGTCTTCCTGTCTCCAAGTCCAGTACACAATGCTAATACCTCCTCATTTACAAGAGTAGCACCACATCACAAACTTCCTTCTATCCAGTTAAACATACTTCCAAAACAGAAACTAGGAAACGTCCTCTAGGAAGCTCTGTCTTGGGCATTGGGCCTGAAGCATAGACCTCCAGCCTTGGGCTTCTCCAACCATTTGTGTGGAATGCCTTAGATGCTTTGTATTTTTCTCCTAATGGGCAGATAATGAAGAAGCACACATGCTAGTAGCAATAGGGGTTTCAACACTCAATCAAGGAAAATCACATTTGCAGCTATTCTGAGCCAATCATAATCAGACCTCCCAAAAGTATTCCAAAGTTACATTAGATAGTATTGTTATGTCCCTGCCTCATATTAAAGAGGCAACCTCCAAGATGGCCAACCTAAAGGTTATTCTTCTGCTTTGAATGTTGAAAATCAAAATAGGAAAAGTCCAAGTTTTGCCTACAAGCTTTCTTCTTTGGATTTAAGTCTTGGTTACCCATTGTTTTTCTCAGGCTTAGATTGTCAGCATGAATGAAGATTCTTTTCATTTCCGAAATAGAAAAAAATACTCCTCCGTTTTCCGAATTTATTTTTTTCTTTTAAAGGTATTATATTGTCAGTGATTGTCTCCAGTGACCCCAAGAAACTACCTTTTCTACTCATACTGGATGCAAAACAATTTACAGAATTGGCTCGAGCATCAATTGATACAGAGATACACCTGGATCTACACGGGCTATTCATTCCCTCTGTGGGTTCTCCTGAAGAGCCAGAGGACAATGTGCTTAAGAGCTAATCTAATGGACTGGCCTACAGTGATGCTACTTTGATATTTGGGAATAGACAAACTGAGTGGCATCTTATAGGACCATAAGCCTGGAAATTTTTTCTTTACCTGGTACAGTTTTATTTGATTTTTGTTCTTGGGATGGTACATTCAATGTCCTTCATTTCATTTCATTTAAATTATAATAACAATTAGAGGCAGCATGGTATAGTGTACAGAGGGTCAGCCTTGGAGTCAAAAAGGCTTGCAAGGTCTACTTCTGACACATAGTAGTTAAGTAACCATGAGCAAGACACTTAAGTTTTAATGCCAGGGGAAACCCTATAAGACTATAGCTCATGGGTGAAGCTAACCTGCACTGGTGCAGGGGGTTCCCACACCAATAAAATTACAAGTCTAGTTAAAAAAACAATAGTTGACATTTAGATAGTACTCTAAAATTTGTTAAGCATTTATGTACATTCTCTCATTTGATCTTTATAATTACTCTGAGAAGTAGGTACTATTATTATCTCTGTTTTACAGATGAGAAAACTAAGGTCATGCACGTAGTAAGTATCAGAGACAGGATTTGAATGCAGCTCTCTCCTGATACAGTCCAATTCAATTCTCTTTCAAATATACCATACTGCCTCTCTTTTGCCTTGGTTTGAAATTAATCAACAAATATTTATTGAGTGAATACTATGTACCTAGCACTGAAGAAAAAAGAAAACTTTTTATTTTGAGCAACCATTACACAAAAATTTTCACTAAAATAAATTATATACTCTATTAAAGCAACATTTTAATACTACTTATTATGGTAGGGAAGGGTATACCCATGAGGAACATGCAAATATTTATCAGAAAGAAAATGTTTTAATTTGTTAAAGAAGTACTTGGCTTAATAGAGGTTCTCTCCTTCCTAAATGCTGGCCTGGTATTTTTAGTTAGGTTTCCTTTTATAAAACTACACAATTAGGAAACTGATGCACGGTCACTTAAGAATTCCATTAGTAGAATTTCCAGGTACCTTCAGTCCTCAGTTTCAGTAAATGAGTTTTGACAAACTCCATACACTAATAATGGTTTTTTGGTAGATAAGTTCCCATTTGTTTAATCATGATTGCAATTATGTTTGTATCTCACTTCTATTCACAACCAAACAATTTGTTAATTACTAAAAGCCAACACCTTTCACATTCACCTTGAGGCCTGGAGAAAGTGAAGAGAGATTCATAGTCTTTGGCTGTGGAATAGTGGAGTTGGACAGTACTGAAAGTGTTTCTCTTCCTCCTCAGATTTTTCAAGAATTGTTTGCTTAGATCTTCCCTTGTCCCTATCACTCTTTTCCCATGTATCACACTTATCTGCATACATGTGCATCCCCTCTTTGAGGGCAGCAATTGTAATTTATCTCTATATCCCCAGCCCTGAAGCATTAGACTTTGTACTTAGCAGGCATTTAATAAATGTTGGTTGGAAAGAATTGAATTGACACAACAGAATTATTTGATATCTTTTGTTTAAAGTCAATTTGTTTTCCTTTAGATAAAGAAACATAAGATTTTGAAGTGGGACCTTAGAGATAAACTAGTTCAATTTCTTCATTTTAAGATAGAGGCCTAGAGATATTAAATGATTTACTTATGGTCCAATAGCTATTAAATAACAGAACTAAAATTCTTCTTATTTAAATATTAGTATTTTCATTGTAAGAGCAGAAATTGGTCCCTGACCAACTGATTTCCCCCATAGGATGTAATCACAGATTCATCACAATCACAAATTCATTAATTGTAATCCTTATAATCCCTTTATAAACTGTGAACATTTTCTTCAGTGAAATTAGTAAGCAAGTTTAGGATTGGCTGCATGAAAACTGGTCACAATCCTGGACACAATTCAGGCAGGAACCAGCAGCTGAGAAAGAATTCAGGCCCTAAGAGGATAATTGACCAGTAAGAAATACACATTCTCCAGACAGACACAGAAACAGAAAGGCAGTATTCAAAAAGCTTTCAGGGGAGGGACCTCTGACAGCAAAGAGAATTGGTTATACATTTAAGAGAAAGTTAGCTGTAGCAATAAAGAATGAACTATAAAGAGGGGTAGATAATGGGAGGCCAGCTAAGTAACCCACCAGCAGACACTGTGCCCAGAGGGAGCCTACTGAAGAACTCCATGATGAGATAAAGGATATTGAGGCCTTTCAGCTCTTGAGATGTGAGTTGTTTTGGCCCATATGTACCCTATATTTGTATTTTACTACCATTACACTCCAAATGCACGCCTACCCTTCCTAAAGATGTTGATGTATTTGTGGAACACTGTGCCCTAGGTTTCTGGAAGGAAATGTTTTTACTTTTCTTACTATACCATTTTAGTCAATGACTTGGCTTTGAGCTACTTGTGTCTACTGACTGACATTAAAGCTAAGGATATAGGTGGAGGCTTGTGAACAACGGTGTGCTGGAGTGAGTTCAAAATAGCTCAGAATTGTTAAAATTTCAGTGTGAGTATTCACACCTCAAAAATCAGCAAATGCTACAAATCAGGGCTTGATTTATTGTCTTGTTGATTGTATGGTCTCAAAGTGATAAGGAAAATGTTCATATTGCAAATTAAATTTTAAAGGACTTCATGTGTACATTTTTTTTGGAGTCAGTTATTAAACATTTACTAGCACACCCTACCTATGAACCAGTTTTAGTACTGCAGATATATAGGTTACCCCAGAACCTGAGGGTGTTAGCTGCCTTCTGGGCATCCAAATCATGAATATGACAACATATCGAAAGAGTGCTAAACCATGAACAAAGTTGTCCTTCCCCACTCCCCACCATGAAATACATAACAATGCTCCCAAAATTTTGTCAAATTCTATTATTACTTCACAGGGTAATGATATCACTCAACTGAATTCAAATTTATATAGAAACAATAACCATATTAAGTTTATGTAGAAACCTCAGGTCATTCCTAATTTAGCTCATACTATAAGGTCAAAATTATTGGCTCAGAAGACAGAAAAAAACTGCTACAACTGCCTCAGTCTTACAGTTTTTTATAATACCTAATACCAAAAATGAAAGTCTTTGGTCTATGTTTTTTTATTGGAAGCATTACACTTAAACATGGGCTTTAAGATTTTTCTATATTTTTTCAAATAATAAGAGTTTGTTTCCTTTCCTTTCCACTACTCCACACCCCCCACTTTGAAAACATTAAAAAAAACCTCTTGTAACAAATATGCATGATTAGGTAAGACAAATCCCTGCATAGGCCATATTAAAAAAGTCTGCATTTGGAGTCTATTACCTCTTTCTTACAGTGTGTGTAGCACGCACCATTGGTCCTCTGGAGTTATGATTGGTCATTGCATTAATCAGAGTTCTTAAATCTTTAAAGGGTTGTCTTTAGGACGTTGCTTTTAGAATACACATTGATCTCCTGGTTCTGCTTATCTCATTCTGCATTAGTTCCTACAAGTCTTCCTAGGTTACTCTGAATCTGGCCCTTTCATCATTTCTTATAACATAGTAGTATTCTGCTTCTCTTTGAAGAATTTTTGAATTATGTGACATGAGAGACATTGGCATAGGACCATCCAGCATGACACGCCCTCATCAGAGAAGGTGCTGTGCTCTACAAGCAAAGCAGAACTGAAGTAGCTCAAAAGAAATGTGAGATGTGCAAATTTAGAGAATCCATCCCAAATGCTCATATGGACTATTTGTGCCTGACCTGTGGTAGAACATTCCAAGCTCATATTGGTCTGATCAGCCACAGTCAGACACACTGTAATTTGACTCCAACATAGTGATGTTATTTTGGTTGTCTTCGAGAACAAAGGACAACCACTACCAGTATTCCACTATATAATATGCCATAATGTGTTCAGTCATGCCTCAATATGCGCTATTTTTAAAAGTTAAAGGTTAGTTTAGAAGCTGGTTTGCAGTTTGAAAAATGTTCATTTTTCAGCTCTAAAACTTTAGTTCATAATAGACTCAAATAATTTTAAAGCTGGAAGGGACAACATTAATCTTCTAGTCCAATGCATGCCTAAAAGGTATCCACACTACAATATATTGGACAAGTGGTCATTCAGCCTCTGCTTGAAGAACTCTAATAACGAGGAGCCAACTCTCTCCCAAGACATTCCATTCCACTTTTGGACAAATTGTTAGAAAGTTTGTTTTTTAACTGAAGTCTAAATTTGCCTCTACAACTCCCACCCACTGCTTCTGGTTCTGGCTAGTATGATCAAGCAGAATAAGTCTAGTCTCTCTTCCATGTGACAGCCTCAAAATAACTGAAAACAATCATCATGTCCACTTCTCCCCTATTCCTTGTCTTATCTTCTCTAAAATAAACATGCCCAGTTCCTTCAACCTCATGTGATATGGTCTCAAGACTCTTCACTATGTTGTTTGCCTTTCTCTGGACTGTCCAGTTTATCAATGTCGTTCTGTGGCACCCAGATTTGAACACAATATTCCAGATGTGATTTGACCAGAGAAGAGTACAGAAGGACTTTTATTTCCTTATTCATTAATATAGCCCAAGATCAAATTATCTTTTTTAATGCTTCTTTATATTGCTGATTCATGTTGAACTTGGAATTTACTAAACCCAAGTATTTTTCAAACTGCTGTAGCATCTTATAATTCTAAAGTTAATTTTTTTGAACCTAAATGTAAATGTATCTCTGCTGAATTTTAACTAATTAGATTTGGCCCAATATTCTAGCCTCCAAAGATCTTTTTGGATCTTACCTTGGTCATCTGATGTGTTAGCTATTCCTGCCAGCTTTGTATCCTCCGCAGATTCAATAGCCATACTATCTATGTCTTTGTCCAGTCCAATCCAATGAAATGTTTAAAAATGTTAAACAACATTGGGCAAAGAACAGATTCCCACAGCACTCTCCTAGAGCCATCCTGAGAAGGTGACAGGGAGCCATTAATGAAGTTTTTATGTCCTGTCAATCAACCAGTTTGGACTCCATCTAATTGTATTATCATCTAGTCTATATTTCTCCATCTTTTTCACATGAATAGTATGAAATATTTTATTAAATGTTTAGTTTTAAAACTCAGCAGATTATAACATTTCCCTGTACTACTAGTTTAGTAACCTTGTCAACAAAACAAATAAAATTAATTTGGCATGACCTTTTCTTGATGAAGTGATTTGGTTTCTTTATAATCACTATTTCTTTTTCTAGATGTTATCAATCAATAATGTTTATTAAGTGCCTACTATGTGCCAGACACTGTGCTAAGCTCTGAGGATACAAAAGGAGACAGAAACAAGCACCAACCCTTAAGGAAGTCACAATCTAATTGGGGAGGGGAATGATAAACTAACAAATACACACACACACACACACAGAGGTGTGTATCCATATGTATTTATACAACCTACATACAAGATAAATAGGAAATAATAGAGGGAAGGCAGTAGAATTGAGAGACTGGAAACTGTTTCCTGTAGAAGCTGGGATTTTAGTAGGGGTGCTCTATTCTAGAAATTATGCAGGAAATGTCACTATTAGGTCTGTATCCCAAAGAGATTAAAGAAAAAGAAAAAGGACCTACACGTACAAAAATATTTATAGCAGCATTTTTTATAATGGCAAAGAATTAGAAACTGAGAGGATGCTCATCAGTTGGGGAATGGCTGAACAAGATGTGGCATATGATTGTGATGGAGTACTATTATGCTATAAGAAATGATGAGGAGGTAGTTTTAGAAAAACATAGCAAGACCTATATGAACTGATACAAAGTAAAGCAAAAAGAACTGAGTGATCATTGTGCACAGTAACAGCAATGTTGTAATGATGATCAACTGTGAAAGACTTGGCTACTCTGATCAATACAATGATCCAAGACAGTTCTAAAGTATTCATGATGGAAAAATGTTATCCACTTCCAGAGAGAAAACTGATGAACTGAGTACAAAATAAAGTATAATTTTCTAACTTCCTTTATTTTTCTTGTTTTTTTTAAAAAATGACTATTTCACATGCATAATTGGTATCATGTTGCTTGCCTTGTCACTGGGTTTGGGAGGCAGGGGGAGAGAGGGAGAGAATTGGAACTCAAAATTTAAAAATAAAATAATGTTAAAAATAAATAATATTTTTTAAAAAGGCACTTTGTAAGAAATTGAGGCCAAGCTTCCTCATCTATAACATGCCAACTGTATTATTTTTGCTTTCATGATGATTAGACAATATTTGCATTTTGTTTATCTGGGCCAGGTAACTTGAATTCATTAAGGTCAGTTAGGTGCTCTCTTATTATCTCTCTATCTATCTTGGGTGTGAGTTCATTGTAAGTCATTTTTGTTTCATCATTTCCAGTGTGAGAGTCATTCTCCTTGGAAAAGAAAACAAAAACAAAATAAAAACTGAACAGCTCTGTCTTACCTCTGTTGTCAATGATCATTATCTCATCCTCCCTGAGTTCAGTCCTGGCTTTTCTTTATCTTCCTCTTTTCCCCCATATAGCTAAAAAAAAAAAAAATTGAAGAAATGGTCCTCCTGTTCACTATGACCAACCCCCCACTTGATCCCATTTTCTCCCATATTCCCTCTCTGTAGTCTTCACTCTTTCCCTATATACTGACTCCTTCCCTGATGCATACAAATACACCCAAATCTTCCTCATCCGAAAAATAAAAACAAAAAACAAACAAACCCTTGCTAGATCCTACTATCTTCACTAGCTATTGTCCTATATTTCTCCTCCATTTTTTCAGCCAAATTCCTTGAAAAAGTAGTCTGCGTTCAATGTCTCCACTTCCTCTCCTCCGTTTCTTTTACACTAGCTCTCATCTAACTTCTGAACTCATTTGAAACTGCTCTCTACAAAGCTGCCCTCAGTTGTCAAACTGCTCTCTCAAATGATCTCAACTGCCAAATCTAAATTGGCCTTTTTTCAGTTATCATTCCTGTTAACTACCATCTACCCCTGAATACAGTTTCCTCTCTTAAGATTTTATGACAATTCTTTCTCCTAGTTTCTCCTCCTTCCTATCTGACCATTCCAGTCTTCTTTGTTGGGTCATCTGTTATATTCCCACACTGCTCTGGAAACTTTTTCCTTTTTCCTTCTTTATACTCACTTATTGATCTCAATTCCCATGGATTCATTTATCATTGCTACTCAGATGACTCTTAGATCTATATATCCAGTCCTAACCAATTTCCTGAGCTCTGGCATCATATCCCCAAGTGCCATTTCAAACTGGATGTCCTGTAGGAATTTTAGCTCAATATGTCCAAAATAGAACTTTATTTCCCCAAAATGAAATTCTCTTCCAAATTACCCTATTATTATCACAGGCACCACTATCAAGTCACAGTTTCATAACCTATATTATCCTTGACTCCTCACTTTCACTTACCCCATATCTCCAATAAGCTTACAAATTTTGTCATTTCTTTCTCTACAAACATCCCTTTTATATATCCACTTCTTCTACTCACCTGGAACCCTATTACCTCTCACACGGACTATTACAGTAACATTCCAATTGGTCTCTTTTCACACTGATCCATCCTCCACATTGCTGCCGAAATGATTTTCCTAAAGCACAGGTCTATTACCTCTAGGATCAAAAAGAAAGTCTGCA